AGTTGTGTATACTGCTTTAGAAGTCACTTGGTGGTGCACATGATTAACATGCTCAGCCACTAACCAAAAGATTAGAGATTTGAGTCCACCCAGAGGTGCCTCAGAAGAAAGAACTGGTGATCTACCTCTGAAAAACCAGCCATTGAAAACCCTATGGAGCGCACAGTTCTACTCTGCCATACATGGGGTCACCATGAGCCAGAAACAACTGGAGGACAACTAGTATATTGATTTAACAAATTCTTGTGCTAAACACTAAAATTAAAGGGACAAATAAAATAAATGTCATTTGTGTTGCCATGGAATTTACAGTCTTGTGTAGGAGGTGATCAACAAGAAAATAAATATCCTATAATCACAAATCGAAAAAGACTAGGAAGGAAATAAACGGGGCTGTGAAGACCATGGGGGTTGGGAGGTGTCCTGTACTTGAGGGGGTCAGGACAGGCTTCTGAGGAAGTGACATTTGAGCTGAGACGCAAAGGATGAGAAGGAGCCAGCCGGGCCTGAACGAAGTGAAGCGCACATTCAAAGGACCTGGGCGTAGACAAGGTTGGTGTTTTTGAGGAAATAACAGGAGGCCAGTGGGGCTGAAGGGCAGTGAGTGAGGAGTGGACTGGGGTTAGGATGAGGTTGGAAGAGGGGACAGAGGTCAGATCACATAGGGTTCCATCTGTGTGTGAGAGAGAGGGAGAAAGAGGGAGAGAATGTGTGTGTGAAAGAGAGTTTGTGTGAGAGAGAGAATGTATGTGGGAAAGAGGGAGAGAGAGTGCATGTGGTATATGAAAGTGTGTGTGAGAGAATTGTGTGTGTGAGATAGAATGAGTTTGGAAGAATGTGTGTGTATGTTTGTGTGAAAGAGAAAAAGAGGGAGAACGTGTGTGTGTGTCTCGTGTGTAGGTGTGCACTCATGCACACACCTACACACAGATGTGTTTTTTTCTGGGGAGATGACATATAACTTCCATCAGATTTCCAATGGGGTCATTGATCCAAAAGAACTCTAGAGAATTTTCTGAATCAAAATTGCCCTCAGTCAGTCAACTAAAGCTTTAAAACAGTTGTGCCAAATGATTTTTTTTTTTTCATTGAGATTCCTGGAAGCTCTGAATTCTAAAGCAGAGGACGAGAACGTGGGGTGCCATTTCGTGGTTTCCCCTGTGTGTAGGGACAAGGGGAGGCTCCAGGTGAGAGCAATGTGCCGCACAGTGTCCATGGTGACTGGGTGTCAAGTATTGGTGGCCACAGGGGAGACTGTAAGTTCCTCTCTTCCTCATGAGGCTGTGAGGATGAGCAACGGGAACTCTGCAGCCCTCCCCTGCCAGGTGTCACCCTTGCTCTGTTGTAATTACCAGGGTTAGTGAATGCCCCGCCTCTCTTCTGCTTGCAGCCTCCTCAATGCCAACAAGATCAATTGCCTGCGGGTGAACACATTTCAGGACCTGCAGAACCTCAACCTGCTCTCCCTGTACGACAACAAGCTGCAGACCATCAGCAAGGGGCTCTTTGCTCCCCTGCAGTCCATCCAGACGCTGTGAGTATGCCACCACGCAGGGCCTGGCACTACCCACCTGGGAGTGTCAGCAGGTGTCCAGGCTGCAGGAGACCCCGAACATCCAGACACAGAGAACACCAAAATGAGGACAACAGTGGGCACATGCAGGAGGATTTCTAGAGCCTGCGATGAGGATGGAATCATACAAATAGTATTAACAGCAGTTGCCAAGGAGTTGACTCTGACTCATGGCGACCCCATGTGTGTCATTGTAGAACTGTGCTCCATAGGGTTTCCAAGGGCTGATTTTTCAGAAGTAGATCACTAGGCTTTCTTCTAAGACACCATTGGGTGGACTCCAACCTCCAACCTTTAGGTTAGCAGCTGAACGCATTAACTATGCACCATCCAGGGACTCCACACATGGCACCAGCTTACCTGTACTGCACTTACACAGTGCCTGACATTGTGCTGAGTACTTTCCCTGTATCGAAACTTCTATACTTACAACAACTCTATGACTACCTCAATTATTATTATTATCCCCGATTTATGTGTGAGGAAACCAAGGCACAGAGAGGTGAAGTAACGTACTCAAGGCCTTACAGCTAGTAAGAAGCAAGATTTGAATTCAGGCAGAGGAGTTCCTGAGCTCTCTTAACCACTGCTGCTGCTGTATTCTGAGCAGGTGCTATCTCTGCTTATAACCCGTTGCTGACCACCAGCGCCACCCCCCCTCCACCCAAGCCTCTGATGTGGGCACACTGGGGGCATTCACTTCCCTCTTTGGGAAGCATTTCCTTAGTCTCAAGCACTGCAGATGTTCATAAGTATTTCAGTTAAATAGACAACATCTGAGTACAGCTCTCAGCCCATGATTTTGATGGCTCCAGCCCTAGACCTGATCCTTAGCCTGGAATCTTCCAAAGATTAGCTAAGTCGTCTGGCACCCACTGCCCCTGCAGCCAGATCAGAAACCAATATGGAGTAAGAACAGCTGCTATGTATATATTGAATACCAACCAAGTGCCTGGCACTGTGTTTGGGGCTTTGTAGAGTAATTCTTAATGAGCCAGTGGGAGCAAGACCCACAGTGCTCTAGTGATGATGATAATAACAACAATGTCAGCTGCTGTATGGATGGAGCACCCACCATATGCCAGTCACTACGCCAGCTGCTTTCTGTGCCTGGTATGACTGAGCTTGGAAGAATAAAATGCAGTTGGCTGTAAGTGGAGACCTTAGGCACTTGACTTGCTGTTCCCGTCAGAACTGGTGTGGGGAGAGGGAGAGGCAGGCAGTGGTGATCCTGCCTCAAGTGGTGAGAGCTGGGAGGCCGGGTCCCCAAACCAGATGCCAGTTGCATCTGTGACTGTCTTTTGCAGACTGCAGGTGTCCCCTCTTTGAGTCACAGCTGGAAGCAGTCCCCCGCCCCTGCCCAGGCCTCCTAGGGGAACAAGGGTGGGAGCCTTGAACTGAATCGCCAGGGCCCCAGCTCCAGGCAGGGTGGCGGTGGAGCACTGCACCACGGGTCACTCCTGATTAACAACCCCCTCCCTCTCACAGCCACTTAGCCCAAAACCCATTTGTGTGTGACTGCCACTTGAAGTGGCTGGCCGACTACCTCCAGGACAACCCCATCGAGACCAGCGGGGCCCGCTGCAGCAGCCCACGACGGCTCGCCAACAAGCGCATCAGCCAGATCAAGAGCAAGAAGTTCCGCTGCTCAGGTAATCAGGTTACAGGGGCCAGGCCCCACCTTCTGACTCAGAATCCAGCAACCCCAGAGAGGCCAGTAATCCAATCTGGAGGACAGCAAGCCCTGTAATGGCTCCTGGGGAGCATCTTTGCAAATTAAATTGGAGAAATTCAGTTAGCCCTGCAGAAAACCAATTACCTTATGGATTTAAAATAAAACACACACACACAATAAAAGCAATGGGATGGGGTGGGGGGAGTCAGTTTCAGGGGAGACAGAATCCAGGCAGCTGCTTATTTCTGGGGCTAGTTGGAAGCTAGGGAATGGGGCAGCCTTTGCACATAGGCCCTTTAAAGTCTAAGATTTGTTTTTCAGTTTCCAAAGCGTGATCCCCAAGTAGCAGATGGAGAAATAAATATGCCCAGTCTAGGCTGCAGGTGACATGTAATCTTGGGGACTTCCCCACTCCCCTCAAAGACCAATTTTTGTTCAGCCCTTGATGAGTACGCAGTGTATTGCAGATTTCAAAGGCTTTTATGCTATCTACTCCACCCCTAGACCAGAAGATTCTAATTATGGAGAAAACAGCAAAGAGTTGTACTTCGAAAGAAAGCAGAGCCTTGCCTGCTAATTCCCACTTGGTCAAGCTCTCCCTAGAAACCACCCCCACACCACCCCTAGTACACCCTGGAAGGACACGGAGAGTGACAGGGGCGTTCTTAGCTCGTCTTTGCAAAAGAAGGAGCTCTCCTTGACCCATTAGTGAGATGAGCAATCAGTTAAATATTACTATCATTTGTGTCCTTTTCTACTGGAAAAAAATCATCAAGAGGGACTGAGCTCCCAGTGGCGAGAGATTGATAGCATGAGGTGCTGAGCCGGGTTGGAACCAGCTCTGGCAATCTGTGTTTCAGCAAGAACAGTGCTTCTCCCCAGGCTGAGGGCATCTTAGGGAAGTGCGTTTTCCCAGCGAGAATGCCAGCATGGGGATGGTCACCGGAGAGGCCAGCAGGCCAACTTCTGCTTCTTGGAAGTTGTTCTTGTCATTTAAGTGAAGTCCTTCAGTCCAGCATCATCAGTCCAGAATGATAAACTTTAGTTGTTGTCTGTTTGTCTGCCTCTCTGTCTGTTTTAACAGAAGCAAATACCTCAAGAGGGCTTGGAGATGCCACAGGGACTTGGTGGAAGTATGAGAAGTTGGTCCCAATTTGTCTTTCCCAGAATAGTGATGGCAATTGCAAGAGCTTCCGCCTCCATTCTCTAGTGTGATTTCCTTCCTCCCGTAGTCCTGCGAGGTCAGCAGAAGAGGTGCCCATTCTGCAGTAGAGAGCCAAGGGCTTGGAGGTGAAGGGGCACCCCAAGGTCACAAGCTAGGAAGTGGTAAAGGTAGGACCAGGCCCCAGGTCTGCTTGCCCCTTGAGGCCATAGTGCATCTAGGAGAAAAGGAGCATTTGGAAGGGAGATCCAGCTGCTTGAACGAGTTCCCTTCCTCCCCTCATTGGCCCACCTGCCCACCCTCTGAACTCTTGCCTTAAGTTCTTTCTTGGGCTAGTCATTGTCTGTGGGAGAAAAACCTTATCTCAGCCCAGAGCTGTCTCCTCAGGCACAACAATCCTTTCCCAGAGGCCTTTGCTCATAATTGACACCAGCTTTATCCCTCTCTTCTACCCCTGCCTGGCCAGGGCTGATTTAACTAGCTCTGCCAAGCAGTTGTGCCCATGAAGGAGGAGATACAAGGCAGAGCAGGGCCGGGTGCCATCTGCCAACTCCAACCCCATGGTCTCACATGGGTCCTGTCGATAACTTGGGTCCCTGTTTTAGGCCAAGGCCCTAGACGGCAGCTCGGGAAAAAGTCAGCTCAGGACCAAAGGACTGGCATCCCTGACCAATGCCATCTTGGCAATTACCTAGGAATGGTTGTAGGCTGGGATGGAGGGATGGGAGCTCGGAAGGGAGCTACAGAAAGAACTAAGTAGGAAAAAGGAAAAATAGAAAGTGGGCCAAGGAGACAGTAGAGCTTAGTTCTAACTCCAGCTCTGCCACTAACTACCTACCCATTTACCTACCTAACTAAATAACTAACCACATTTAAGGGATGCTGGCTTCTTTTCCTATGTGGGGTAGGAGTGATTGGAAATAAAAAAAAGAAGCAAACAGAAAAAAGGGTCAGGGTTCTTGAACTGACCCTGTCTGAGACATCTCTCTGCCTCTCTTTTCTTTAATCAATACTAAGTAGAAGGAAAGGAGCCCTGGTAACTTGATGGTTAAGCACTCAGCTACTAACGAAGGGTCAGTCGTTTGAACCCAGTGCCACTCCGTGGGAGAAAGACTTGGCAGTCTGTTTCTGTAAAGATTGCAGCCTTGGAAACCCTATGGGGTAGTTTTACTCTGTCCTACAGGGTTGCTATGAGTTGGAATCGACTCGACATCAATGAGTTCTTTGGTTTGGAAGCAGAAAGTTTATTCCTATAAAGGTAGAGAAGTTTAGAGCTATGGTGAGCCTGACACCGAGCACTCTAAATGCTTTTATTTTACCTAGCTGCAGAAAAGAGATAGAGGAGTAGAGAGAGTTACTGCTGAGCTCCAAACGCCTTGGCTTTGAGAGACCCTGGGACCCAGACCCGCCTTGGCCTTGGGAGTACAGAGGCCATAGATCTAACGTTCTGTGTTTCCAGGAAGCTCCAGACAAAAGAGGGGGGCAAGTGACACACACTGGGTTTGACAGATAATAACTCTGCATTTTACTTTCCCTAAAAGCACCCCCGTTGGAAAGACAGCTGATTTAATTAGGCGCCAATTTGAGGGCTGTTTCTGCAATACAGAAAGCTCTCCTTTGGCGAGGCCCTGCTCTCCCAGCTGCCCCGTGTCTGCCTCTCTCTATCAGCTGCATCCAGCGCCCCTGGGCAGCACGATGGGTTAGAGGTGGATGCTACCCGCCGGGGTAATCTGCCCATCAGATTAAGGCCTCCTAAAAAGGCACCGTCTGGCTGCCTGGGACCCCAAGCCCATCCCCAGGGAAGCACTTGGCATTTGAAGGATGGTGTCTGTTTTCCATCACGCTGCCCGCTTTGTGTGTGGAGACCCAGTAGGGCAAGAAGCAGCTCTCATATTGAAAAGTACAGAGGGTGGTGACTCAGTGTCCAAAGATGCCAAACAGCAAGGTATTTCTCAGGGAATTACAGAGTTTTAGAGACCTGTCGGGTCGCTATGAGTTGGAATCGACTCCACGGCAAAGGGTTTGGTTTGGTTTTTTAGAGACCTTAGTGATCATCCAGTACATTTTAGAGATGAAGAAATATAGGACTAGACAACGAAAAAGTCTTATCTAAGGTTGTTGTTGCGTCGAGTCAATTCCAATTCATAGCTATTCCATGCATGCAGACTAGAACTGCTCCATAAGGTTTTCAAGGCTGTGACCTTTCAGAAACAGATCACCAGGCTTTTCTTCTGAGGCCCCTCTGAGTGAGTTAAACTGCCAACCTTTCGGCTAGTAGTCAAGTGCTTTACTGTTTGTGTCACCCAGGGGCTCCTTTTCTAAGGTTACAGAGTATTACTTTCAGGACAAGATCCGTAACTCAGGATTTCTGACATATTGTCAAGATTCTTGATAACTTACTCTTTGTTCACATCCATTTCCTTTTGTAGAAGGAGACCAAAGAGGAGAGTGAGATTTTAAGGCTTGAGGGACATGGAAGGGATAGACTTTCCCCACTTTGGTACCGAGTCTCTAATCAAACCCAAGTATGAAAGCCCAGCACCAGAGTGTTCACCAAGCCCTGTGTGTCTGGGTTTCAGAGTAGCGTGGAGCCCAGATCACAGTGGCAGGCTCTCGCTGATGACATGGGAGGGCTTAGAAAGGAGGAGGGCCAGGCCTAGAGCTGTGGACAGGTTCTGCCCAACTGGCCAGTCATTGCAGACAACCTACACACTGTCAAGATGCTGAGACCATCTTGTTGATGGACCCAGTTCCGAAAACACCTTGGGGAGAAGTAGGTAGCCCTGTCCGTTTTGTTAGAGGTCAGGGCAGGGTCCCAGTCACCAAGCCTTGGCTCCAGCCTCTGCAAAGTACACGCATCTCCAACACAATGTCTCATGGGAAAGAAGCCATAAGCCAGCAAGTGCATGAAAACTGCCCCTGATCCATTGAGGAGAGGGCTATAGAGGGGGTACCCTCACCTGGTCCCCTGATCATTCAGAACGGTTGATTATTGGCCCCCTGTCTCCACTGTGATTCCCAGTCATAGAGGAAACCAAGGAATCAGATACCTTCCACTCAGGCTAATCACTTGGCGTCCCGTTTCCTTCCTTCGCTTAGTTTTGCAAACAGTAATCTTGAGGGGCACCAGTCATTTCCTCTGTGACAGTCAGGGTTCTCAGACCATTGTGACTGCAGGCTTTCCAGTCTGACATTTATGGCCCCATGGCTTCCCTGTCTTTCTGTTTGGCTAGGGAAGATATATTTTCTTTTGATACCACGTTCTTTCTCTACTATACTTCAAATGATCTGGGTTGATCGTCTTGCCAGCCAGAAGGTTCTTGGGGAACCCTGAAGGATATGGAGAAGTCTCCTGAATTGTGGAATGCCAAGGGGGCTTTTTCCTAAAGAGCATTGCAACTTTGCTAGGTTTTGGCAACCGGGAACCATGGATCATTTCTTCATTTAAGGGATAAGGGAACAGATAGGTATGGAGCCACTCAGCTGCTGGGATGGGTCCTATGTTGCAATGCATGCAGAAGATGCTTCTACTAAGTTTGATGTCAGATCAAATGTTGTGATTGAATGGAGTTTTGAGACTCAGTTCAGGCCTATGATATGACCATAGGCATCTAACTGTTCTTTAATTCCGTTGGGAGGGCTCTATTCTGCCCTGATGTTCCTGAGTACGGGTGTCCAATATCCCCGCACCCCTCCCATTCTCCCTCCTCTCTCTTGTGTCTCCCTTGGTGCGGTACAAGGGCGGTGGGACTCCTGTCTTCAGAAGCGTTCCAGTGGAACCCACTCCTGGTACTAATCACACTCAGTGGGGGCCT